AATGTTCTCAAGTAGCAGAATACTGGGAACTCAAATCCTTAGCTTCTGTTCTGAACCTTAAGCAAGTTTAATTGAGTGAACTCTATAGGAGGAAAATCAGTAGCTATAGTTAAGCTATAAAGCTTAATTGTTTATGGCACCTGTGAAAGAAACCTCTGGGAAGGCACTTGATAGAACTGTCATGGAGACTTGCATTGAGGTGTCTCCGCTGTCCATACCAATATTTTGAATACTCAAAATGTGGACTAGCATCCAAACACTATTGGAGGAGAGCAAGCTTAAGTCTCTCTCATTCGTTCATACCGGGAATTTGCTCCAGCTTGTCACAGGGCTCACAGCATTTGTTTTCTGAAGTGATCGGAAGCAGGCAGGATGTCAGCAGTGTGTAGAGTGGGTTGGGCTACATTTTGTGTTGCTCCTCTTTCCAGCTGGGGCAGGAGGGAAGAACAGCTGGTGTAGTATCTTCCCTTGTCCTTGGTGGCCTGCTGGAGAACTCCATGGTCTCTATGGACCTAGTTTGCAACGGGGAAGCGAATATTACTTGCAATGAAACTGAAGTTAACCCTTTAAAAGAGAAGCAATCTTGACAGGATGGGGAAGCAGGCCAGAAGGAATAAAACAAATTTCTGCAGTGATTAAGGTAAAATTCTGTATTTAGGTAGGAAAAATCAGATGTACTTATATCTTGGGATGCGTTGGCTTTCCAAGCTGTACATGTGTACAGGATCCAGGGCAGAGGTGGGCAACTCATGGCCCTCAAGATGTTGTTAAGTTGCAGCTCCTATCAGCCCTGACCACTGGCTATGCCAGTGAGGAGTGATGGGAATTGCAGTCCAGCAACATCTGGAAGGGCACTCCCCTAAAAATTTTAGTAGACCACAAACTAAAAGCAAGTTGTGGCATGATGTTGTGACTAGAAAAGACAAGGTAATTGTAGGGTGGTTTAACAGAAATATACTAAGTTTCAAGAAGTAATGGTATCACTGCTTTGGAGAGACCTGATGGGCTGTAGGGTCCCATTTTTGTTCCAGTTCTGGGTGCTGCAGTTTAAGATGAGTGTTCAGAAACTGGAACATGTCCAATGGAGGGGAAGAAAAATGGTGGAGGCCTAGAAACCAAGTCCTGTTGATGACATTGGGCACATTTAGCCTTCAGAAGAGACAACAAAGAGGCAATAGAGTACCTGTTTTTAAATAATTGAAGGGCTGATAGAGATTTAAAAACATAGGGGATATATTTGTTTTCTGTTGCTCAACTGTTGGGACCTAAGCTCTTTGTGTCCAGATCAGAAAGGGCTTTTCAGCTAAACATTTGGATGAAACTACTGAACATGCAAATTGTTTAACAGAAGAACAAACTGCTTCAGAAGGTGTCTGACTTCCCTTTGTTAAGAGTTTTTTAAAGAGAAGCCATCTATTGGGGCGCTTGTAATAGCAGACTCCTTGCATTAACAGAGACTGAACTAGATGAGCTTTGATGGACATTTCAATTCTGTAAGTCTGTTATTGCTTTCTACAAAATAAAGTTCAGCTACTAAACATTTCTCAATGAAAACTTTTGGATGGGAAAATTGGGCAGTCAAAAAAGTAAGGCACAATAGTTGCTCAGATCACTTTCTGCTACTCCTGCAAATGCATCACAACTTCTTTGCAATGAACACTTCTGTTTCTCTCTGCCGGATCTTTGCTTTGTCGAGTAAGCACTCAGAAGCAAAATTAGCATTCTTTCATTCTTGGATGCTTACCTTGCCAGTCTGAGCAGCACTGTAAGCGGATTCGTTTGGCAGCTTACTACTTCCAGATATCAAAGACCAAATAAAGATTGGATCCATTTTCTGCTGCTGAATCAATAAAAGAGAAGAATGCTACTGTAGCATATTTTACAATTCCTCTTTCTTAAATGTTCAAGGTCAGAGAATTTTGGGAGTGGGATATGCTGTAACTTTAAACATGCCTAATAGATTTGAGAAATGTTGGCCATTTATTGAAAATGTTTCTAGGATACTTTTCTATTAAAAATGATCCCTAGTGGCTTACAAGGATATTCAATAATCGCATATAATAAAGTGGTGGACGGTTGAATGAAAGATAAGACGATCTGTTCTTTGGAGGGCATTTGATAAGAGAGGCCCCTCTGCATTGCTTGCTCCATAGTTTGTCTCTTGATATAGCCATCCAGAGAAGAAAGTCCTTGAACTGTTGCAGTCCCATCCCGTATAGGACAGTAAAAGTCAAAAACCAGCACTTTGAATCATGTTCATTCAATTGGACTACACTGGAAGCCAGGCAGATCTGGAAAAGCAACTGCATTCTGTCCAGATTGCCATACTTGAGATAACAGCCTAACTGCTGTAGTCAAAAACAGTTGAGGTTTCTAAGCACCCTCTTGGGGAGTGTCACATGCAACACATTATTGTAATCCAGCCAGGACTTTGAGGGAATGAAAGTGCAGTATCCCAGTAACAACAGTGTCAGACACGTTTTTTTTCTACTCAAGCCTTGTAAAGAAGGTTCATTAGTGATGTTCTTGCAATGGGCTTGGACATCAAACCCGCATGATGAAATCCATGCCTTCTGTTTACAAGAAGGCTTCCCTGCAGAAGCATATGCGAGTTTTTTTCTTGTCACATTCACCCTGTGGATGGTACAGCAGTAGAAAAGCATTTTAGACATGCTCCGGCTTGTTCGTAGTCCTAGTTGCTTTCCTACCACATTCATATTTTTCCACATTAAATTAGGCACTCATCCCTTCCATAGCACTTACTGAGTCAGTGAAGCAGGATATCTAGTTATTGCACAAATATTACATTCTTAAAATAGCTGCTTGACAGCTAATGGTGTTCTCAAATCTCCACTAGCTCAGTCTTGGTGCTACATAACCAGCCAGCTCAGTTGAAATGTGTAGGAGAGTAGGAAAAAGGAAAAGCACATCCATCCATGAGATAGTAAATGATTACACAGAATTTTGCCCACTTTGCTGTTTTGTGATTTTATGTTGATTTGCTTAAAATGCTTCTAAATATACATTGAAATATTTCTTAGTAAACTTTTCCAGAGATATATAATTCATCAACATATATGTCCATTTATTTGGGGGATGAATGGGGCAGGAGGGGGTTGCTAAGTTCTTTTCCAGGAGCAATGTCCCAAGCCTCATATTTGGGCAATGAACAAACTTGAGCTTTGTGCTAACTTACCACAATTCTATCTCCTATATATAAACCTACAAGTCTTGAAAGAAAACATCTCTTTTAATTATAAAATCAAATTTTCTACATTCTGAAATTATATTGTGAGCCACACAAGGATGTTTCTATCATGGCCAAAAGCACACCCTCTTTTGCTATTTTTGTTTTACTAAAAATATAGTCTGAAGAAAAGTCCTTCACAGTCTGTTGACTATTGGTAAGTTTTGTTTAGCTGCAGTACTAGTTTCCTCTGTCCCTGAGACCAGTATACCTGAATATTACTGTGCATTGTTCTTCCTTCCTGTTTTTGTACAAGAAATGGGTAAGTTGGTGGTAGATCTTCCCCCAAGTCATTCTTGCATCCTGTCCTAGAGATTTACAATGTAAATAATGGCTTTTTATCTAGAATGCAGTTTCGTGAATGACTGAGGGAGGTAAAAAAAGGACTAATTTTTTTTGTCTTTGGTCAATCCTGAATCAGCAGCATCGCTAGGTATTTCTGTCATAGAACACCACTTAGACCTGCGTTTGAGAAGGGGGAAGCTTTTCTTGGTAGAAATCTTGTTACTAAATAAAGAACTATTGCATGCAAATTCTGATTTTCTTTCTTTCAAAGGTCTGGGTATAAAATGGCTGATAAAGATTGTATACTGATTTTTCTTCCTTCCCTGCCCTTCCCTTCCTTTAAGGAGCATCCATTCTTTTCTGTATTCATTTCTGCTGAGGTCATACTGTATTTGTTTTTCAGATGAGACCCTTTTTGCTCTTCCTGTTGCATCTGAACCTCTGATGCACTCTTCTTCAGGCAAGTTATTTCAGCTAGCCTTTTGCATTAGAAATAGGCCCCATGTCCTTTGCAATATTCCCATCCCACTAATAGTTTCTAGATGTATTTACTAAAAATTGCCATGGATCCAAGAATACTAAGTCTTCTAAATTAAAAAAATGCTTTTTTAAGAAGTCAACTCAAAATGCAGACTTGGGCAGTGTCTGTTTTAAACTTAAGCTGTCTGTGAATTCTTGGACCCTTCTTTCTAGGAAATTTTGCAGTGACGATTAACAGCTTAACTTTTTACCATGTAGTTGGCTTTGTTGATGTAGATGTTGCTAATTCATTAAAATTAATGAATTATTAGAGTTGATGCATTCTATAATTGCAGTTTTTTCCTGCTAGCTATGTTATATTGTACAGTGAAGATGTAATACTGCCAACCTCTTAACCATAGTTAAGTCTTGGTTACAATTTCATGTGCTTCCTCCTTGTTTACCTGCTATGCATCTTCCCTGAACCAAGATTTACTCTTGCAGGTGTGCTAGCTCTAACTGTGCTGAAAGCTAAATGGGCTTTCTGTTGTACCTCGGATTTGAAGTTGCAAAAACTGGTTAAGAGGAAACTTGCTAAGTATTGAACATGGTTAGTGGTGGAGCATGCATAACGGTAAAGGCTGAGGGAGGGAGAGGAAATCTGTTTATCCCATCCTTCTCCCAACCTAACTGTGGGTAAGAGATCATCAATGTTATGTCTTCACTGGGCAATTTTTTAAAAGGCACAGGAGGACAGGAAAGTACGAACCACCACTCAGGTTTGTTTTGTAAAATATGTCCTCTTGGCACTGTTTTGAGACCTTCTGTGACCTTATACATTTACTGCTTCATTAATATTTATCATCTTTTGCTAACTTAATATTGCATGCTCTTCCGTGCTGATCTTTCTGACAGTAACAATTGAACTAGCTATTGTTTTGGAACCTGTCATTAAAGCTTGCCTTAACTTTCACTCCACTTGCACTCTTGCTAACTTTCCTTTCTGTCCATGGCCACAGACAAAGGCATGAACTTGCAAGAACAGCTGGGTCGCGCATGCCCAGCCAGCCAAGAAGATTTTGCTGCTGTCCTGCTTGATGCTACTGCCTCTCTTCCCTCCCTCTCTCCTACTATCTCAGCCAATCCTTTTAAAGAGTATACAGCCCTCGATGCAGTCTCGGGAGGGCTCTCTGCAGATAGCAGGCACAGCCAAATTGAAGGTGAAACATTTAAAGCCACTACAAAAAGTGCACAAAATCCATTCCTTGCTGACGATGCCGGTGAGGTTGCTCAACAAAAGAGCTCAGAAGAAGTGCCCCCATTCACCGCAACAGAGCCCTTCTTTTTATCTCAGACCAAGGAGCCAAAAGGCAGTAAAGAAAGTTTTGATATAGAAAAGTTCTCCATGTACCAGCAGGACTCATCCCCAGAGTCGCCTGTCGAATTATTTGCAAAGAGTGATAAGGATGTACCTCTTGACCGGCAGCATGATATTGATGATCAGGTTGAAAAAGTGTCTTTCAGAGACGACCCTTTTGCAAAGGATGAGTATGTGGATTTCAAGCCTTTTGAGCCACCAGGGGCTGGTGACAAAAGCAGCAGCTTGAAGGATGTCCCTAGGAATGAGGTGGATGGCAAATTAGAAAGTGGCATAGATAAATATGATGTAGAGATGTCTAACCCTCTGCCAATAGAAAAGAACTTTGAAAAAGAGAGTGGAAGCAGCAATGAAGACATTTCGTTCCCCAGCACTCCAGATGCCCCAGAAGAACCTTCACAGGCTTATGTCACTTGCACCAAGTTTGAATCGGCTGTAGCAACTGAGGGCAGCGCAGCCAAGATGCTCCCTCTGGTAGAAGAGCAGCCTTCTGAAAATAAAACAGATGAGAAAAAAATAGCAGAAATGAAGGCCCATTTAGTCACAGAACCGAGTAGTACCCACATTGAGTTGGCTAGTGGCCTGGGCCAGAAAGCTGACTCTGAGAAATCAGAAGACCTGCTGAAGAAGCTTGCTGCTGCTGCTGCTGCTGCTAACATGCCTGAAGGGCTGACTCCAGACTTAGTGCAAGAAGTGTATGAAAGTGAGCTTCATGATGCAGTTAGCCCCAAACTTGCTTATGAAACTAAGATGGACTTGGTTCAGACTTCTGAGTCATCACAGGAGCCATTGCATGCCTCTGTACAGCTTTGCCCCTCCTTTGAAGCTGAGTCTGAAGCAGCTCCATCACCAGTCTTGCCAGATATTGTCATGGAAGCACCACTGAATGCAAGCACTGTTGGGATGGGTGGTCCTACCATTCAGCTTGAAACCTCCCCACTGGAAACCTTTACTGCTGCAGGTGACTATGAGAATGTGATGCCGAAGTCTGAGAAACCTCCTTCCTATCAGGAGGCAATGAATGTACCGGCAGCCCAGACACAAGAAACCAAGGCAGAAGCTGCAAAGAAGGAACCTGATGATAAGAAAGATGAAACCCCAGAAGACTTGGAGACTTCTTATATATCCATTGCATGTGACTTGGTTAAAGAAACAAAGGTCTCTAATGAATCTGCTTTGACAGGGTTTGTAGATTATCCCAAGGCAGAACGTGTTTCACAAGCTGTGCCTGAACCTCCTGAGCATCTTGAGAAAACACCACCACCATCTGGAAAAAGCGACTCATTTTCTCATCAGCCAGAAATTGAACTTGCTCAGAAAAAGAAAGATGATGTGAAAGAGAAACCACTTGAAACTGCCATCAATATTGTATCCAAGGGCGCTGAGGAGCAGAAACGTGAAGAGGTGCCACTCTCTCTTGGCAAGCCCTACTTGGAGTCTTTCCAGCCTCAAGTGGAACCTTCCAAAAATGTGCCCCCTGCTTGGTCTCTGGAAGCAGAAGCTGCAGACCTGGCTAAGAAGGAGAAGACTGCCCAGCTCCGCATGGAGGAACTTAATGCTTATGAAGATGATTTCCCTGTTTCTGAGGAACCCAAAGTCAAAGACAAAATTGTCCTATCTGCGGAATCCTCTCCAGAAACCGATGACTTCCCCACAATCCCTTATCAAGCTGCTAAGTTGGTCACTGGAGCTACTGAAAAGGTTGAGTTAAAGGAGAATGAAAGTAGAGAGTCTTGTGATATGGTCAAAATGGAGGCAAGTCAGCCTCCTTACCAAGAAGTAGCCCAGGACCTGTCTTTAAAGAATGTACATGTCAAAATAGAAGAGCGAGAGCTTGCCTTGGGAAAACCCTCTGAGAAACTGGACAGAGAAGTGCCTGAAGCAGCCAAGGAACCTTTACCCCCAGCTGATGTTACCCCTTTGCCTGCACAGAAGAAGGTAGTCAGTGTAGACAAGGAAGCTGAGAGAAGAGCTGCCTCTGTTAAAGAAAAGGAGAAAACACTGCATGTGTTTTCATCAAAGCTGAGTAAACCGTCAGGTAATCTGCTTTCGGTTCTTTTGCATTTCACTAATCATTGTATTTCTTCAGCATGCCATGGCTTATGTGTCTAAAAATGTGTGTCTTATAATCTAGTTGTGCCTCTTTGGTCTCTTTTGTTAAGAAATCCTTCTTTGCTTGCCATCCAAACACTTTTCCTAGTTTAAATCACTGGCTGAGATGAAATTTTACCTTGATCATAGAAGGACACGATGCTGTTTACTTCAAGCAAGATACGCATGGGCTTTTCTATTAGAAGGCATGGAAACCAGCCTGACACACCTAGGTGGGTCAGTGCACTGCATTGAGATGCAAAAACCTTTCGATGGAACCTCAAAACTATATACTCTGACCACAGTCCAGTGCACTGAGTTAAGCCCGCTCAGGTCCCTTGGTTTCTTGCAGTCAGGTTGGACAGCTCTCTGACAATACCTTTATAAGTGTAAAAGGAAAGCTCCATGGTAGGAATGATTAGAAAAAAGACCCAACATGAGCAGTATCATGTGGAGCTTATATAAATATGTGTTGTGGTTATATATGGAATACTTTACATTCTTTTAATTACCCTGTTTTTTTAAGGGGTTCTCAAGGGGAAACCAACATGAGGGGGATAAATAACTTTCCTGTGAGGTAGGGCTGAAGTCTTGAGGTTTCTTTCTTTGGTTGAGGCAAAAAGATTACTAAGAACATGGTAGTGGATTATAAATGATACAATAAGAGTAATGGAGATCTCACCCCCCCCCCAATCCACTAGATTCAGATATTTAGAATTCATAATGACAAATGTAAATAATTTGTTATCACAGGATGTTGCAATGTATGGCTTTAAAAGGGAATCTGAGAAATTCACAGAGCATATCTCTTTCCCTGCCTATCATTTCATGCTAAATAGATTTCCCCCAGTTCAAAGGCTGTCTACCTTCGAATGCAACTTGCTGAGCAACGGATAGGTGAAGGAGAACTGTCGCTACCTGCCACACTGCTTGGGCCCTTCCCAGAAGTCTCTTGATGGGCACGGCTAACATAGGGTGTTGGGGAAGAGGGCCATGTGGCATGCTCCAGCAAGGTCGTTCTTTGGCTTAACGAACATTGTTGTGGCATTGTCTCTGTGCCAGGCATATTCGCAGTGTGGGATTCAGCCTTTTCTAACCTGGTGTGGTCTGATACGCTGTAGTACAGCTCCCATAAGCCCCTTGCCAGCTTGGAGTTGGTATTAAGGAAATTTGCAAAAGCTGCAGTGGTAAGGAAAGTTCCCAGAAACTGTTAGTTTCAGCTGTGTTGAAACTAAAGGAACCTTTTGGGAACTTCAGAGCCTCGTTCTTCTGCAGGGCCTGTAGCTGGAAGAATAGAAGTTGCTGGAAGAATCTCGTCTGGGCAGAATACCTCCCTTGCTCTCCCTGTTGGGCAGGGTCTTTTTATTCTTGCTGCATTGCATCGTTCGTCACATTCCAGCTGTGTGTGACTTTCCACTGCAGAACACTCTGGCCCTTGTTGAAAGATTTCTGTGAATTATGCTTAAGGCTCTGACTCAGCAGAAAACTACTTTTGGCACAGAACAGAGTAATTCTTCAGCCTCTGAGTGGGATACATCTGAATCAAGCACTAGGATAGGCCTTCTGCTAGGTTATGCTTTGGTCTGTGTGAGCATATATTCATGGGTCCCACAAACAGCTTTAACTTGTACCCCGAGCAAAGAGAATGTCTGGAAAATAGTGTACGTGGTATCTGTTGCTAGCCTTTGTTTTAAATCTTTTACGAGTTGTCCTGAAAAGCTTTGTCTTAAATTAGGCAAGATTCTTACAGTACTCTTTCTAAAGTATTTGCATTTTAACAATCTCTACCTTCCTGTCTTCATTGCTTGAGTGGTAATCTTTCTTGTATCATGCAGCAGGTGTGTTAAGATTTTTGACTTTTCCTAAGTAGATTTATAACTAGTTAGAGGAAACTATTTTTAATTCAACAGCACCAGCCAAGGGGGAGTGCATAGAAACATAAATGTTAAGTAGATGGAATGGTGTGTCAGTATTAAACAGGACCTAGCCAAACACATCAGTTAAACTACATCCGGGGCAGAAAGTACAACAGCTGTATTGGCAGCCTAACTCTTCATTTTTTCATGGCTGATGTCTGGATATTTTACTATAAAAAGTAGTACACAAGCTGCTTGAAAAATAATAAGGGAAAAAGCAATGCTCTAATGTTTTGACTATTTGTCGCAAGAGCAATATACAATTCTTCTGAGATTTGCACCCATGTCCAAAACAAGCACTTTGTCTCCCCTAAATATGTGCATTCCTAATCTAGCCTATAAAATTTAAAAATCTCTTTTCTCCATTTTTGGTAATTTTATTACAATAAAAGGATTAAAAATTTGAAAGACCCATGCCACAGAAGCAGAGATGAAGTTGGATCTTGACAAGCTTCGACTTTTCTGGGCTAGCTTGGCTAATGTTGAAGGTTCTTTCTTGCATTAGCTTTTGAAACTTCAGGTCTAAGTAATGCCTGTACTTCTGAAAAGTATGAATATAATTCTCTTGGGTATTACAAGAGTGACATACGATGTCCTGCCATTGACAGCACCTCCTGCCTTTATAAAAATACATGGACAATTAGAACAGAAAACATCGTAATCACTGGGCAACATCGAAGCATGCAGCACTGGGGTAAATGGCACTGTTGTGGAGTTCGAGTTCTCTCAAGTGGCCCTGAAATGCAGCACTTAGTAGTAAGACTGGAGTAATGAAGAAAATAATTGTTCACCGAAGGCAAGGGGGAAATGCAGAGGAATAGCAGTTCTGCAAAAACATAAAAATCCTGCCCCAGTTTTAAGATGATTGGAGGAGGCCCTTTTCATGTGAACTACTGCTTCCAAAGCGTGCTTAGTGGATGCAAGAGAGGACTTTTTGCTGGCTGTTCCAGGCTTTGGTACTCCTTTGAGGGATATTAGGTCACCTTGCTGCCAGGTGAAGACATTTTTCTTCAACTAGGCCTTTGGCAGGTAAGCTGTTCTGCTAGGTCCAATTCTGTTTTTATTCTTTTGTTGCTATGTTTTTAAATTGTTTGCATTTTAAGTACTTTATTTTAAAACATAAATGGAATACAAGCCTTATTTTATTTATTTTATTTATTTATTTTATTAAAACATTTCTATGCCGCCCCATTCGCCGAAGCCTCAGGGCGGCTCACAACATTAAGTTAAAATACAAACATTAAGTTATAACATTAATTTAAAATGTTTGTAAAATGCAAACATTAAGTTAAAATACAAAAAATAACAATATAAAATAAGTTGCCCTGGCCTTCAAGGTGGAATGCAGTGAAAAGTTCACTGTTATTCTTTGGGTCCCACACCATGAATTGATTTCCCTCCTGTGGGTGGCAGTGAGACTAGTCCCAGCAAGGTGCTGGAAGACCACCTCTATATTGCTGGAGGCATATATGGAGAGCAGAGAAGCCTCTGCACCACCTCACATTATAGAAAGAACAGATAAGACCAGAGGCTTTTCATGTGGCTTGCCTGCCCTCAATCTGTTTTGCACACAAGATGGATAACAAGTGTAAGTTGTCACTGCCTTTGCATTAGTTTGGAAATCATGACACATCTTACTTTAGAGAGAGTTCACATGGTCCTCTGTGGAAATGGCTGTGCTTTTTGTTTTTTATGGTGTTCTGTTTCCTGTTACTTTGTTTTTGTAATGGGAAATGGAGACTTAATTTTGTTAAATTGTATTTTACTGGATTTGTTTTAGGATTTTTCTAACTTTGTTTTAATTAGCTAGAACAATCCTCTGACTGACCGCTTCCTTGGCCACCTCCTTGGTAGAAAGGTGGGATATCAACCCACCAACTGGGGTTCAGGCAGGAAGGGGAACATGGCTCATGTAAAGCCCATTCTTTTCTTGCAGAAAGTCACAGCTTGAGTCCCTGGCATTTTTGGCTTAGAAGAATGTGGTGGCTTACGAAAGAAAGACCTTTGTCTGCCTGAGACCCTGGGAGGTCACAGCCATGCAAGTAGACAGAACCAGACCAGACGAACACATAGGTTGATTTGGCAGAAGGCAGCTGCTGCTTTTCCTAATGTATCATCAAGTTGGCCATACAGTTTCAGTTGGAAGAAGAAGAGTTCCTGGAACCATGCCAGGTGTTCAGGAGCTGATCTCTCTTCCACCAACGAATTCCCCTTGAAGCACACCAGACCAACGCAGAGGCTTATCTTTCCAAAGACCTTGCAAAACGCTGCTGAACAGAACTAGCTGCGCTTTTTCAACGCATTGAATGCTTTAATCTGGTTATGGAAGCAAGAAAGCACAGATACATAATTTGGCATTATTGCCTCGTGTTGGCAGCGTTCAGGCGGCATGCCAAACCATTTTTGCATGTAACCCTGGTTTCGCATTAAAATAATGCCTCTGACGCAGCTATGCGGAGAAGATTGGACACTGCTTATGTTTTAGATCTACCACAAAAGGCCATGTTGTCTAAACACTGCAAACTCTGGTTAATATTGGTAAGCCAGCTTTATAAATTATGCATTCAAGTTGGTTTGTTGCCACTAACATGCTTAACATAAGCTATAATTGACTTGTGCATGGACAACATGGCAGGCTGTGGTTAATCTGAAACAGAAGTGAAAACTTGACCCCCTTGGAGCTGTGCTAGAAGCATGAAGCTCTATGCAGCTTGTTCTTGTAGGCCAAACAGTGGGTTGTGCTGCAACTAAATTAGCCCGTTGAGTCAGTCCCAGTGATTCATTCAACATTGTTGCTTATTAGCCATAACTGCCTACTGTAATTGTCTTAATCAACTTTTTTTGTATGAGTGAGGATCCTTTTACTGGGGTGTTGATGGTGGCTATTTTGTAACAATCTTTCCATCTTGATACACAACATGCTGAAGGGCCCTGGTCTTTGTTATGATGCACATCCCGTGAGTTCCCTATCAGTTAGATTTGGACCATGCAGTGTTGGGTAAGGAGACTCTTGCAGCATAATGTTGCATAC